CCTTAGTTCTGCTGAAAATGAGGATCAATTCACCGTTCAGCTCTTTGCATTTGGCCCCAGTGGCCCATAAGCAGTTAAGCAGAACCCACAACAGAAGGACCTATTCCCATCACAGATCAGTTGATTGCTGTAGGGCCCGCTTACGCCATGGACCTAAAAACTGTGGCTGTACAACTGAGAGCAAAGAAGGGTATCAAGTCCATTAGTCACCATTGTCACAGAGGAAGGGAGGGGAAAAAGTATATGGAACTGCATCTTCATGTTGAAATGAAAGACATTACATAGATATGTTATGAAATTATTATTAAAATCACTCGTCTCATAAAACTTCAATGTCAAAACACAACTTTTAGTATTATTTGTAGCCTTAAAATTCAATTATCACCATGCCTAGCTAGTACATGGCAGAGCACTATGATCTCAGAAGAGTCTCTTTCACAGCCACAAGAGCTTCCCACGTATTAACAAAAATTATTTAAATGAGTAGTCACTAACAGAAGCCAGAGAAAATCTGAATGAAGACTATCGTCTCTTTCCACTTGAGCATTGCAGAGTTTCAGATTTCTGATACAAGCAAATTTGCACGTTCACCTAATTCAGAGCATATTTTCAAAGTGTCTGTTTTAATCAAAGCTGTGCATTTCCTACAGATTCTAGCTCCGCTTCATTTACAGAGCTCAGGCCTTCCAAAGTTCAGAAGTATACAAATGCTACACAGGATGTATCTTGCAACTCAACCCACTGCTCACATAATTTTTCTGTTCCATGGGTACAGCACAGTTTTTCTATAAAATACTCATCCTAAATAAGCTCAGTGGTACTTAATCATATCTCAGGAGGCTATATGTCCCTTTGCTAACACTGACCTTGGCTGGGAGTTAATCCCATAGCTGTAAGTGGTTTGGCTATGCCTTTTTAAAGAAGGACTACCAGAGGGCCTGGTTAGAAGGTCCCTTCAGTAACACCAGAATGTCTTTACCTATTTTTATAGCACTAAATCTTGTTGTCATCAGATATTGACAAACTCTCATGGTACTGAAATTTTAGATACCATATGTGTTACTGATTTAAACTACACTTAAGTTTAGTCTTTGCCTATAATAAGTGAAACACATTTTTTAAAAAAACCCACACTGCTTTACAGTTCTACAATGCTGATACTTGTACGGACAAAGATAACTATAACAGAAGAAGCTAATGACTTGATCTTTCTAAACTATGCAAAGAAATAATCTTTGCTTGTATGAGTAGTTTTACTGAATGAGCAGGGTTACTCAACACAGTAAAAGCTAGTTATGTATGTAAATATTGTATGGTAAACTGCTTAGTAACCAAATTCATGCTTTTCAGCCGATTTTTATTTTGACATTTTTAAGATAGTATCAAATCATCTTGAAATTGGTTTTAAAATATACCTTATCATTTTGAAAATCAAATTAATACAGCCAACTGACTGATAATTATATTTTGCCTAGGTTCTGCTGTATTGTAATGCTTTCATGTTGCCCAAACAGAGCTTGTTTCAGGACAATTTTCATTTATTCCTGAGAAAGTCTAAACCATGGTACCATTCACGAAGTACAACAACCCAACATAACGTGTGCTTCATATTTGAAAAATGATCTGCTGAATACTCTTGCAATTTATTTAACTTAAACGTCTAAACCCTTAGCTGGGGATTTTCAATCTTTTCAACTCACAGATCCCCTTAGCGGTCTGTAGCCATGCACAGAAAATTTATTTCCAACAAAACCAGACTTGCTTCTTTTAGTTACTTCCCACAGACTCCTTGCTATTACTTCACGGACTCCAAATTTCTAAAAGTAGTACTGCAGACTAACTAATTACCTAGAGCTGGCTGGTAACAAAAGAGATTAAATTAATAGATGTAGTAGGGGACTGGGACTTGAGAAATAATATTCCATATTTAAACTCAACAGCGTAAAGATCATTTGTTACTTTGAACATGATACATTTCCTTCTTCAGAAATAGCAGCAATTAAGAGCATAGTGTAGAATGAAAAAATATACAGAGTAATTTTATTCTGTCACTGAAAAAAAACCCCCCACACCACAATTCAACAATTTGGGATTAAATAGACTGGATTTAAACCAACATTACAATTGTCTGGTCTTTAGAAAATCTGCTACTGCCATGTTAGGGGAAAGTGCAATATAAGTAATTTACATGTGGGCTTGCTATAGAGGTGACAAAGGTAAGCAAAGCCACATTGTACCCAAAACCTTAGAGTAGCGCAAGTAAAATGTGTCAGCAGAACAAGAAAATAAAATATTTTTGCAGTGATACTGTAGCCTTTCAACCAATTTTTATAGCTGTTTTTAAAGATAACTTTGCAAACACTTGCCGGCTGGTGACTGGTTTTGGCTGGCTTACGCAAAGGTGGGAGTGTGCTGTCAGCAGGTGATGTGCTAGCTCAGCCTCTGGAGTACTTCTAGAAGGGGGAATCAGAGGGACTGCTGAGAAACAGGAAGAGGTGCGGAAAGGACTTAAAAGCCTCATAGCGAGCTTGGTTATTTTGTTTCCAAAACCAACAGTCATGCGTGTCTACGCATGAGCTGAGCAGTCATTGCGAGGAAACTCATTCATGGAACACGTGGTTACAAGCACTTATAGAGGTCTTAACTTTTCCAAAGAACTGTAGTACTGCTCTGGAAAAAAGATGGCCTACAGGTTCATCACAAGTTAAGGGTAACGTGTTTAGCAGGTAGAGTCTAGAACAGAGATATGGCCAAAGCCCAGCCCTCGGGGTTCAATATAAGATAAAATACCTGATCAATCTCCAGATTGATCTGTACAGTACCTTGAACTAGCTTAGGATCAGCCTGCAGCTGACAAATTTTGCAGGTGAGTGAGAAGAATGTGCACCTGGGAGAAATGAGGTGGAGGCCTGACAGACCAGCATCCCACCTGGGGACTCCCAACTAACAGGTACAGGGCATGACTACACCTACAAACTGAATACAGAGAGTGCCAGGTTTCAGATAAGTGATATATTTAAGAAAGTTGTTTAAACTGTTGCCTACTCCGAAGCAGGGTTGGTGGAACGCAACTTCTGTATTCATCGGGAAAGGCTTCATTTGCAAAGACTTACTCAAGCAATAGCAGAGGTGTTTAGTTTAAGCTCCTGAAGACAGGGGGTCACCAGAGATGCGGTACTCACCAGAGGATCAGCGGAATTGCAGTACTCACCAGATGACCACGGGGATGCAGTACAGCTAGACCCAGCAGAGTGAATCCCCACAGTGAACTCTGGCAAAAATAATTTAAGTAGAATTTAGTCTCTGTGAAAACTGTTCAGGAATAATAGAATGCTGCTTACAAAACCTATTTCAACTCCTTTTGTCTTTGTCTACCACAGCCTGTTTCCCCAAGTACTGCGTTTAAATCAGGTTTGTAAACAAGGTGGGGTAGAAAGGACCTACATGCTACAACTACTTGAGTAAATATTGAGAACAGTAAAGAACGGGGGCAGGGTATAAAACCAAAGACTGGAGGGTGCCAAAATAACCAATGACTTGAAAAGAATGTCTGATTGATAGAAAGTCCAAGGAACCACTTCTACAAACAGTGGCAAATAGCCAGTCCCCATGAGTCAACCCCACCAGGCTAAACTGCCGTTCACGGGCCAGGAAGTGCAAACAGCATCAACATCTGGCAATTGCCACATCTTCAGCCTGCAAGATCAGCCAGTCCCGACTTCAGATGGACGGGGAGAACACAGAAGCTGGGGTGTCCTGGAAGGGGCTCCTCAGTAGCCGCCGATGGCCAGAGCTGCCATGGCCTCCCAGCTCAGGGGGCTGCCCCTGCTGGGGCAGGAGGCAGACAGGCCAGCCGGGTCCAGCCCAACTAGCTCCAGCCCCGTCTCCCGAGGAGCCCGGGGGGGGCGAGGGAGCCTTTCCCAACAGGGACGGTTTTCCCCGGCAGGGAGGGGAAAACCTCTTCAGCCTCCAGAGCCAGCTGGGCAGCGAGGCGCTGGGGGGGAGCTAAGGGGGCTGGCTCGGGGACCCCAACGCCCACCAGCCCCTCCCGCACTGGATAAGAGGGCGTTACCAGCCACCCCTCCGTGGTGGGGGACCCGGCCTCGGCAGCGACTCCCCTCTTGCTGCCTCCGTGGGGTCAGAAATGCCATCAAGTGCCCGCGAGGAGACAGCCTCGGGGAGCGGGAGGTCTCGCAGCTGCCTGGGCAGAGGCCCTGGCGCCGGCTGCGAGGGGCGCCTCGTCCCCTGAGGAGGGCCGCCTG